TCCCAAGAATTATCTGAAAGGAAGCATGATTCCGAAAGTTATCTTGAAAAAGAACATGTTTGTGAGGTTTAGTAGAAGGCGCAAGGATGACAATGAGAACGATGAGAAAGTTGCCGTGAATCTTGATATGAAAAAACAAGCTTTGGGACGTGGGGATAAGAAAAGTGGGAAGGAGAAGGATGGGAAAGAAAGAGGTGTGGTGAGAAGGGTAAAGCGTGTGGTTAAATATGTCATCCGGAGGTGAAAGATTCACTGAAAATCACCGATACGGCTGTAGTATATAGAAGGTGGAAGAGTAATTTTGTTCTGTTGACTCTAATCCTGGGGGATGATGTTCAACAAATGGATTTTGGCACTTACATGTTACATGAGCATGAACTCGAAGGTTGGTGTACTGTAAGTCTATGTAGACGTTACGTGGACGTCGATTTTAGTATGGAAGTGTGAAAGGAATAATAATTCGTAGGTTCAATTGTACATATATAAATAGATCAGAAGTCATTTTTGCTACTTGGATTGCATAATTGACCACGTTGCTCGCCTTTCAAGTTTAATTAACAAAAGTAATCTACTTGTGTCGACTAATTAATTTCTATAATCGTCCTCAAATTCAAAGATCTCTAATAATAATTGCTAGTGTCGTCTGTACATATCTGAAGACTCTTCAAAGTCTAATATTTGCAATATCAAAGTTACATGCGTAATAAATAGTCAATTAAGTTTAATCGGAAATTAGTAATTTGCTTTAATAAGAAATTAATCTCAAATTTTTAATTTACGTCTGATAAATTATTTGAAAAATCGTTATTGGGCATTCTTATCGATTAAATTAAATTTTCTTTTATACAAAAAATTTAATCATTGTAACTGAATTTTATTTTTTACAATACATAATGATTGCATATATTTTTTATTATTTAAATGATAAATTTATGTAACGTAATCTATCTGTACAAAAAATAATAATCAATTATTCTGAATTTTACAAAAAAAAAAAATCAATTTATCGAATATCAAAAAATTTTTATCCAAAAATATACATTATATAATAATTTTATTTAAAGCATTAATATAATATTATTTGTATTTTAAAGAATACCTATAAATATATTTTTTAATAAATAGATATTAAATTACTTATTAAAAAAGAAAAAAAATCAATGTATTGAGATTATTATTAAGCTTTATAAGAAATTGAATAAATAATTTTGATAAGCTTGTCTATTTCATAATTATATTGTATAAAAAAAATATTTGTTTTTTTTTTTTCTCTTATAATTCAAATCTGCTATTTAATATAAAAAAATTTTTTGAAATTTTTTGATAAAAGTCTATTTTATTATTATTATTATATAATTTTTTTGTACTTATAAATCTTTTTATATCTTATATTTCGAATCTGTTAATAAAATCATTTAATTAAAATTGTAATATCTTATTTAAAATTTTTTATACTATTGCCTTATGAACTTTAATTAATTGATATCTTTTTTTTAAAAAACTTTATACTGATATTGATAATCTCTTTTATTAAAATGATTTTTTTTCTTTATTTTTTTATTATTTCATTAATTGGTAATAGATTCTATTTTTTTTTTTTTTGTTTTTTATAATATGGTTTTGATTTTATAATATATAAAATTTGTTAAAAATATCTTTCTATATTTGATTTTTTTTTCTTAAAGTTTTTTTTATAAATTAATAAATAAATTAATATTTTTTTATATTCTTAAAAAAACATATTTGATACTTTTGATAATTATTAAATATTGTATTGAATTAAAATTATATATAATTGATAATTTGTTATATATAAACTTAATTTTAAATATTTTGTTTTTATATTTGTTTAAAAAAAATAATCAATAATATCTTATTATTACTATAAAATTAAAACTCTTTTCAATTAATTATATTATAGTTATTATTATTATTTTTTTATAATTACTATATTTTATTAAAAAATATTTAATATATTAAATTTTTTTTATATCATTTAATATAATGAAAACTCTTTCCGCTGATCCTTTTGCCAACCCAAAAAACAGACGTTCTCAAAAAACTTTTTGTTTTTATGATA